TAGATATAAAATCGATAGTTTTTTTTGAAAATAGCCTACTATGATCGAAACCAAAAATGTTTTAAATTTCATTTTAAAACATATCTAGGCATTATAAATGATAAAGAATGCTAATATAGATATAAAATCGATATTTTTTTTGAAAATATCCTACTATAATCGAAACCAAAAATGCTTTAAATTGCATTTTAAAACATATCTAGGCATTATAAATGATAAAGAATGCTAATAAAGATATAAAATCGTTAATTTTTTTTGAAAATAGCCTACTATGATCGAAACCAAAAATACCTTAAATTGCATTTTAAAACATATCTAGGTATTATAAATGATAAAGAATGCTAATATAGATATAAAATCGATAGTTTTTTTTGAAAATAGCCTACTATGATCGAAACCAAAAATGCTTTAAATTGCATTTTAAAACATATCTAGGCATTATAAATGATAAAGAATGCTAATATAGATATAAAATCGATATTTTTTTTGAAAAAAGCCTACTATGATCGAAACCAAAAATGCTTTAAATTGCATTTTAAAACATATCTAGGCATCATAAATGATAAAGAATGCTAATATAGATATAAAATCGATATTTTTTTTGAAAATAGCCTACTATGATCGAAACCAAAAATGCTTTAAATTGCATTTTAAAACATATCTAGGCATTATAAATGATAAAGAATGCTAATATAGATATAAAATCGATATTTTTTTTGAAAAAAACCTACTATGATCGAAACCAAAAATGCTTTAAATTGCATTTTAAAACATATCTAGGCATCATAAATGATAAAGAATGCTAATATAGATATAAAATCGATAGTTTTTTTTGAAAATAGCCTACTATGATCGAAACCAAAAATGTTTTAAATTGCATTTTAAAACATATCTAGGCATTATAAATGATAAAGAATGCTAATATAGATATAAAATCGATATTTTTTTTGAAAAAAGCCTACTATGATCGAAACCAAAAATGCTTTAAATTGCATTTTAAAACATATCTAGGCATCATAAATGATAAAGAATGCTAATATAGATATAAAATCGATATTTTTTTTGAAAATAGCCTACTATGATCGAAACCAAAAATGCTTTAAATTGCATTTAAAAACATATCTAGGTATTATAAATGATAAAGAATGCTAATATAGATATAAAATCGATAATTTTTTTGAAAAAAGCCTACTATGATCGAAACCAAAAATGCTTTAAATTGCATTTTAAAACATATCTAGGTATTATAAATGATAAAGAATGCTAATATAGATATAAAATCGATAATTTTTTTTGAAAATAGCCTACTATGATCGAAACCAAAAATGCTTTAAATTGCATTTAAAAACATATCTAGGTATTATAAATGATAAAGAATGCTAATATAGATATAAAATCGATAATTTTTTTGGAAAAAGCCTACTATGATCGAAACCAAAAATGCTTTAAATTGCATTTTAAAACATATCTAGGCATTATAAAAGATAAAGAATGCTAATATAGATATAAAATCGATAATTTTTTTTGAAAATAGCCTACTATGATCGAAACCAAAAATGCTTTAAATTGCATTTTAAAACATATCTAGGCATTATAAATGATAAAGAATGCTAATATAGATATAAAATCGATATTTTTTTTGGAAAAAGCCTACTATGATCGAAACCAAAAATGCTTTAAATTGCATTTTAAAACATATCTAGGCATTATAAAAGATAAAGAATGCTAATATAGATATAAAATCGATAATTTTTTTTGAAAATAGCCTAATATGATCGAAATCAAAAATGCTTTAAATTGCATTTTAAAACATATCTAGGCATTATAAATGATAAAGAATGCTAATATAGATATAAAATCGATAATTTTTTTTGAAAATAGCCTACTATGATCGAAACCAAAAATGCTTTAAATTGCATTTTAAAACATATCTAGGCATTATAAATGATAAAGAATGCTAATATAGATATAAAATCGATAATTTTTTTTGAAAATAGCCTACTATGATCGAAACCAAAAATGCTTTAAATTGCATTTTAAAACATATCTAGGCATTATAAATGATAAAGAATGCTAATATAGATATAAAATCGATATTTTTTTTGAAAATAGCCTACTATGATCGAAACCAAAAATGCTTTAAATTGCATTTTAAAACATATCTAGGCATTATAAATGATAAAGAATGCTAATATAGATATAAAATCGTTAATTTTTTTTGAAAATAGCCTACTATGATCGAAACCAAAAATGCCTTAAATTGCATTTCAAAACATATCTAGGTATTATAAATGATAAAGAATGCTAATATAGATATAAAATCGATAAATTTTTTTGAAATTAGCCTACTATGATCGAAACCAAAAATGCTTTAAATTGCATTTTAAAACATATTTAGGCATTATAAATAATAAAGAATGCTAATATAGATATAAAATCGTTAATTTTTTTTCAAAATAGGCTACTATGATCGAAACCAAAAATGCTTTAAATTGCATTTTAAAACATATCTAGGTATTATAAATGATAAAGAATGCTAATATAGATATAAAATCGATAATTTTTTTTGAAAAAAGCCTACTATGATCAAAACCAAAAATGCTTTAAATTGCATTTTAAAACATATCTAGGTATTATAAATGATAAAGAATGCTAATATAGATATAAAATCGATATTTTTTTTGGAAAAAGCCTACTATGATCGAAACCAAAAATGCTTTAAATTGCATTTTAAAACATATCTAGGCATTATAAAAGATAAAGAATGCTAATATAGATATAAAATGGATAATTTTTTTTGAAAAAAGCCTACTATGATCGAAACCAAAAATGCTTTAAATTGCATTTTAAAACATATCTAGGCATTATAAATGATAAAGAATGCTAATATAGATATAAAATCGATAATTTTTTTGGAAAAAGCCTACTATGATCGAAACCAAAAATGCTTTAAATTGCATTTTAAAACATATCTAGGCATTATAAAAGATAAAGAATGCTAATATAGATATAAAATCGATAATTTTTTTTGAAAATAGCCTACTATGATCGATAGCAAAAATGCCTTAAATTACATTTTAAAACATATCTAGGTATTATAAATGATAAAGAATGCTAATATAGATATAAAATCGATAACTTTTTTTGAAAATAGCCTAATATGATCGAAATCAAAAATGCTTTAAATTGCATTTTATAACATATCTAGGCATTATAAATGATAAAGAATGCTAATATAGATATAAAATCGATAATTTTTTTTTTTGAAAATAGCCTACTATGATCGAAACCAAAAATGCTTTAAATTGCATTTTAAAACATATTTAGGCATTATAAATGATAAAGAATGCTAATATAGATATAAAATCGATAGTTTTTTTTGAAAATAGCCTACTATGATCGAAACCAAAAATGCTTTAAATTGCATTTTAAAACATATCTAGGCATTATAAATGATAAAGAATGCTAATATAGATATAAAATCGTTAATTTTTTTTGAAAATAGCCTACTATGATCGAAACCAAAAATGCTTTAAATTGCATTTTAAAACATATCTAGGCATTATAAATGATAAAGAATGCTAATATAGATATAAAAAAAACTTTTTAAAAAACACGCTTTTATCAAAAAGATTAAAAACCAAAAACTTGAAAATAAAATAAGATCACACTTTTAGCGAATCAGGATTTTAAAAGTTTTCTTGTGACATCTAGAAATGTAACATAATTTTTTTCAAAATATTGTGATTAAGTCCAAGAACACAATGACTCGAAAAGCGTGGGGCTTTGAGACTTGACGTTCTCTTACTTAAGAATATAGCTGAACTAAGAAATTCATCCTTAAATTACGCCCCACGCTTTTAGAGTCATTGTGTTCTTGGACTTAATCACAATATTTTGAAAAAAATTATGTTACATTTCTAGATGTCACAAGAAAACTTTTAAAATCCTGATTCGCTAAAAGTGTGATCTTATTTTATTTTCAAGTTTTTGGTTTTTAATCTTTTTGATAAAAGCGTGTTTTTTAAAAAGTTTTTTTTAACATTTTTTTATTTGCTACTTTTTAGTCTCAATCTTTTAATCGAATTTCGACCACAACAATTCAAATTCAACTCCACTTCGTTGCACTTCGTTACGTTCAACTGTTTATAGATTACAGTAGGTTCATAGGTTACAGGTGTGTTGAACTCCACTTCGTTGCACTTCGTTACGTTCAACTGTTTATAGATTACAGTAGGTTTATAGGTTACAGGTGTGTTGAACTCCACTTCGTTTCACTTCGTTACGTTCAACTGTTTATAGATTACAGTAGGTTCATAGGTTACAGGTGTGTTGAACTTCACTTCGTTGCACTTCGTTACGTTCAACTGTTTATAGATTACAGTAGGTTCATAGGTTACAGGTGTGTTGAACTCCACTTCGTTGCACTTCGTTACGTTCAACTGTTTATAGATTACAGTAGGTTCATAGGTTACAGGTGTGTTGAACTTCACTTCGTTGCACTTTGTTACGTTCAACTGTTTATAGATTACAGTAGGTTCATAGGTTACAGGTGTGTTGAACTTCACTTCGTTGCACTTCGTTACGTTCAACTGTTTATAGATTACAGTAGGTTCATAGGTTACAGGTGTGTTGAACTTCACTTCGTTGCACTTCGTTACGTTCAACTGTTTATAGATTACAGTAGGTTCATAGGTTACAGGTGTGTTGAACTTCACTTCGTTGCACTTCGTTACGTTCAACTGTTTATAGATTACAGTAGGTTCATAGGTTACAGGTGTGTTGAACTCCACTTCGTTGCACTTCGTTACGTTCAACTGTTTATAGATTACAGTAGGTTCATAGGTTACAGGTGTGTTGAACTCCACTTCGTTGCACTTCGTTACGTTCAACTGTTTATAGATTACAGTAGGTTTAAAGGTTACAGGTGTGTTGAACTCCACTTCGTTGCACTTCGTTACGTTCAACTGTTTATAGATTACAGTAGGTTTATAGGTTACAGGTGTGTTGAACTCCACTTCGTTGCACTTCGTTACGTTCAACTGTTTATAGATTACAGTAGGTTTAAAGGTTACAGGTGTGTTGAACTCCACTTCGTTGCACTTCGTTACGTTCAACTGTTTATAGATTACAGTAGGTTTATAGGTTACAGGTGTGTTGAACTCCACTTCGTTGCACTTCGTTACGTTCAACTGTTTATAGATTACAGTAGGTTTAAAGGTTACAGGTGTGTTGAACTCCACTTCGTTGCACTTCGTTACGTTCAACTGTTTATAGATTACAGTAGGTTTATAGGTTACAGGTGTGTTGAACTCCACTTCGTTGCACTTCGTTACGTTCAACTGTTTATAGATTACAGTAGGTTTAAAGGTTACAGGTGTGTTGAACTCCACTTCGTTGCACTTCGTTACGTTCAACTGTTTATAGATTACAGTAGGTTTATAGGTTACAGGTGTGTTGAACTCCACTTCGTTGCACTTCGTTACGTTCAACTGTTTATAGATTACAGTAGGTTTATAGGTTACAGGTGTGTTGAACTCCACTTCGTTGCACTTCGTTACGTTCAACTGTTTATAGATTACAGTAGGTTTAAAGGTTACAGGTGTGTTGAACTCCACTTCGTTGCACTTCGTTACGTTCAACTGTTTATAGATTACAGTAGGTTTATAGGTTACAGGTGTGTTGAACTCCACTTCGTTGCACTTCGTTACGTTCAACTGTTTATAGATTACAGTAGGTTTATAGGTTACAGGTGTGTTGAACTCCACTTCGTTGCACTTCGTTACGTTCAACTGTTTATAGATTACAGTAGGTTCATAGGTTACAGGTGTGTTGAACTCCACTTCGTTGCACTCCGTTACGTTCAACTGTTTATAAATTACCAGTTTTCAAAATTTTTCATTCGTTTTATAAAATTTAATTTTTTCAAAGCATTCATTAGTAATGTACATTAAAAATCAATCGTAAAGATTTTGTGTTTATCTGTACCATTTCTACTTCATAACGTGTGGATTCTTAGCATAAAGATGCATCTCACATATGTAACGTATTTATAACGGATTTTTCAAATTTAAATTCAATGAATATCATTTATATGTTATGCAAAAATACGTCAAGCCGTTAATAAAAAGAAAAGTCAATTTAATTAAATTGGTGAAGTGTTATAAATAATGCAATACATTAAAAACAGCATAAATTTATGCTCAAACTATGTGTGCTAAATGTACATCGCATATTAATAGTTATTTTGTATTAATTCTATTAACTATACATCTTATTAACTAAAACGAAGAGAGAAGGTGACTTTTACAAAAGCAGGAGTAACGCAGAATTATATCAACTTTTCAATGAAGCTGATATCGTACGACGAATCAAAGTCAACAGACTCCGTTGGGCTGGACATGTCGTTAGGAGACCTGTTGAAGCTCCCATTAATAAAGTCTTTAAGAATGTTTTTGTAGATGGCAAAAGAACACGCGGGCGACCCAAGAACTCTTGGAAAGAAGCTGTTGACAGAGACAGTATTGCATTTGGTATGGTTAATTGGCAAACGGAAGCCAGCGACAGAGTCAGCTTCAGGCGCCATCTAAGGGAGGCCATGGATCACAATTGATCTGTACGGCCAGCGAAGTAAGTAAGTAAGTTGTATTAATTCGTAACGGATTTGTGCTTAACGGTTTTTTTGAAAATTTAAATTTTCACTTACGAAAATTCATGAAAAAATTACTTGTCAATTTTTTTGTCTTACCAGAATATCTTTAGCTGCTCAAATTTATAGTATAATTAATAATTAGTAATATTAATTAAACTATAATAAATCATATAAATGACTTTTGAGCATTTCAAGTATAATATTTTAAACAAATCAAAATTTTATATCATTGACATTGGATTTTTTTCCCATATAAAAAAGTTTTACTTAAATTGTACTATAATTAAGCCTTTTTGTGGTTCCAAAGTGTGAAAATATTGTATTGTCACCGGGAATACGTATGTAATAAAAATTTGAGCTCGATTGGAGCAATAGAAGTGGTCGAAAAATCGATTGCAAGATTTGAACGTGACAAAGAAACGAACAGAGCAACTCAATAAAAAGCGTGTAAAAATCGATATTTTTTTTGAAAATAGCCTACTATGATCGAAACCAAAAATGCTTTAAATTGCATTTTAAAACATATTTAGGCATTATAAATGATAAAGAATGCTAATATAGATATAAAATCGATATTTTTTTTGAAAATAGCCTACTATGATCGAAACCAAAAATGCTTTAAATTGCATTTAAAAACATATCTAGGCATTATAAATGATAAAGAATGCTAATATCGATATAAAATCGATATTTTTTTTGGAAAAAGCCTACTATGATCGAAACCAAAAATGCTTTAAATTGCATTTTAAAACATATCTAAGCATTATAAAAGATAAAGAATGCTAATATAGATATAAAATGGATATTTTTTTTTGAAAAAAGCCTACTATGATCGAAACCAGAAATGCTTTAAATTGCATTTTAAAACATATCTAGGCATTATAAATGATAAAGAATGCTAATATCGATTTAAAATCGATATTTTTTTTGGAAAAAGCCTACTATGATCGAAACCAAAAATGCTTTAAATTGCATTTTAAAACATATCTAAGCATTATAAAAGATAAAGAATGCTAATATAGATATAAAATGGATAATTTTTTTTGAAAAAAGCCTACTATGATCGAAACCAAAAATGCTTTAAATTGCATTTTAAAACATATCTAGGCATTATAAAAGATAAAGAATGCTAATATAGATATAAAATCGATATTTTTTTTGGAAAAAGCCTACTATGATCGAAACCAAAAATGCTTTAAATTGCATTTTAAAACATATCTAGGTATTATAAATGATAAAGAATGCTAATATAGATATAAAATTGATATTTTTTTTTTGAAAAAAGATTACTCTGATCGAAACCAAAAATGCTTTAAATTGCATTTTAAAACATATCTAGGCATTATAAATGATAAAGAATGCTAATAAAGATATAAAATCGATAATTTTTTTTGAAAATAGCCTACTATGATCGAAACCAAAAATGCTTTAAATTGCATTTTAAAACATATCTCGGCATTATAAATGATAAAGAATGCTAATATAGATATAAAATCGATAATTTTTTTTGAAAATAGCCTACTATGATCGAAACCGAAAATGCTTTAAATTGCATTTTAAAACATATCTAGGTATTATAAATGATAAAGAATGCTAATATAGATACAAAATCGATAATTTTTTTTGAAAATAGCCTACTATGATCGAAACCAAAAATGCTTTAAATTGCATTTTAAAACATATCTAGGCATTATAAATGATAAAGAATGCTAATATAGATATAAAATCGATAATTTTTTTTGAAAATAGCCTACTATGATCGAAACCAAAAATGCCTTAAATTGCATTTTAAAACATATCTAGGTATTATAAATGATAAAGAATGCTAATATAGATATAAAATCGATAACATTTTTTGAAAATAGCCTACTATGATCGAAACCAAAAATGCTTTAATTTGCATTTTAAAACATATCTAGGAATTATAAATGATAAAGAATGCTAATATAGATATAAAATCGTTAATTTTTTTTGAAAATTGCCTACTATGATCGAAACCAAAAATGCCTTAAATTGCATTTTAAAACATATCTAGGTATTATAAATGATAAAGAATGCTAATATAGATATAAAATCGATAATTTTTTTTGAAAAAAGCCTACTATGATCGAAACCAAAAATGCTTTAAATTGCATTTTAAAACATATTTAGGCATTATAAATGATAAAGAATGCTAATATAGATATAAAATCGATAATTTTTTTTGAAAATAGCCTACTATGATCGAAACCAAAAATGCTTTAAATTGCATTTTAAAACATATCTAGGCATCATAAATGATAAAGAATGCTAATATAGATATAAAATCGATAATTTTTTTTGAAAAAAGCCTACTATGATCGAAACCAAAAATGCTTTAAATTGCATTTTAAAATATATCTAGGCATTATAAATTATAAAGAATGCTAATATAGATATAAAATCGATAACTTTTTTTGAAAATAGCCTACTATGATCGAAACCAAAAATGCTTTAAATTGCATTTTAAAACATATCTAGGCATTATAAATGATAAAGAATGCTAATATAGATATAAAATCGATAATTTTTTTTGAAAATAGCCTACTATGATCGAAACCAAAAATGCCTTAAATTGCATTTTAAAACATATCTAGGTATTATAAATAATAAAGAATGCTAATATAGATATAAAATCGATAACTTTTTTTGAAAATAGCCTACTATGATCGAAACCGAAAATGCTTTAAATTGCATTTTAAAACATATCTAGGCATTATAAATGATAAAGAATGCTAATATAGATATAAAATCGATAATTTTTTTTGAAAATAGCCTACTATGATCGAAACCAAAAATGCTTTAAATTGCATTTTAAAACATATCTAGGTATTATAAATGATAAAGAATGCTAATATCGATATAAAATCGATATTTTTTTTGGAAAAAGCCTACTATGATCGAAACCAAAAATGCTTTAAATTGCATTTTAAAACATATCTAAGCATTATAAAAGATAAAGAATGCTAATATAGATATAAAATGGATAATTTTTTTTGAAAAAAGCCTACTATGATCGAAACCAAAAATGCTTTAAATTGCATTTTAAAACATATCTAGACATTATAAATGATAAAGAATGCTAATATAGATTTAAAATCGATATTTTTTTTGGAAAAAGCCTACTATGATCGAAACCAAAAATGCTTTAAATTGCATTTTAAAACATATCTAAGCATTATAAAAGATAAAGAATGCTAATATAGATATAAAATGGATAATTTTTTTTGAAAAAAGCCTACTATGATCGAAACCAAAAATGCTTTAAATTGCATTTTAAAACATATCTAGACATTATAAATGATAAAGAATGCTAATATAGATTTAAAATCGATATTTTTTTTGGAAAAAGCCTACTATGATCGAAACCAAAAATGCTTTAAATTGCATTTTAAAACATATCTAAGCATTATAAAAGATAAAGAATGCTAATATAGATATAAAATGGATAATTTTTTTTGAAAAAAGCCAACTATGATCGAAACCAAAAATGCTTTAAATTGCATTTTAAAACATATCTAGGCATTATAAAAGATAAAGAATGCTAATATAGATATAAAATCGATATTTTTTTTGGAAAAAGCCTACTATGATCGAAACCAAAAATGCTTTAAATTGCATTTTAAAACATATCTAGGTATTATAAATGATAAAGAATGCTAATATAGATATAAAATTGATATTTTTTTTTTGAAAAAAGATTACTCTGATCGAAACCAAAAATGCTTTAAATTGCATTTTAAAACATATCTAGGCATTATAAAAGATAAAGAATGCTAATATAGATATAAAATCGATATTTTTTTTGGAAAAAGCCTACTATGATCGAAACCAAAAATGCTTTAAATTGCATTTTAAAACATATCTAAGCATTATAAAAGATAAAGAATGCTAATATAGATATAAAATGGATAATTTTTTTTGAAAAAAGCCTACTATGATCGAAACCAAAAATGCTTTAAATTGCATTTTAAAACATATCTAGGCATTATAAAAGATAAAGAATGCTAATATAGATATAAAATCGATATTTTTTTTGGAAAAAGCCTACTATGATCGAAACCAAAAATGCTTTAAATTGCATTTTAAAACATATCTAGACATTATAAATGATAAAGAATGCTAATATAGATTTAAAATCGATATTTTTTTTGGAA